GATATTGGAAAAGTTTATGTTTCCAAAAAATCAGGTGGCACAGAAACTTCTTTTAAACTTTTAAAAAATGATGATTTGGATAAAAATAATCAATTAACCCTACTTGAGGTTGCTCCATTAACAAAAGATAGAAAAATTTGTTGGTATAACAAAATTCGTCGGCACGTAGACCCAAAATTTAGAGATATACTTTGCCCCAATCCTAATTAATTTTACATAATAATTTTGAAACAATCAAATACTTTATTAGATACTAATGACAAGCGTAATAAAAATTATGAATTAGTAACACTCTATGAGGTCTCCGTGACTATTAAATTTATTAAATTAATTATGAAATGTGCAGTAAAATTATAGTCATGATGTTATAGTTTAATATTATGCAAAAAAAATTTTTTTTGACCAAAAGTCTCGAAACCCGGTTTTCCTAGAGCGCCCCCTAATTATCTTTTTTTTTTTAAAAAAAATGTCTAGAAATAAAAGAAAAGCAGAAATAAACCAAGAAACCAGCTGGAAAGATGTTGCTGGGTAAGTGTTTATCATAAGAGTGGTGGTGGTTATCGCCACTCGTCATCACTCTAGTTGTATTTTTATGAACTGGTTTTAGATGCAAAGTAAGGATAATAAGTTGTGTTATTAGTTAATGATTTGTAGGGCAAGGTCAACAGTTGATTTAACTTGTCTGTAAAAAAATCAAACTTTTAGCTTCTACATAGAGTTATCCGGGTCTTCACACAGTCCTTGGCAAATTGTTAACACAATGCTTGTCGGCAAAGTGACCGGGTCCCAGAAATGGGTTGCAAATCAATCGGTTCATGTTGACTTTCTTGCCGGTATGGAAAGAAGGGAATAATTTGAGGTTGACAAGTATGATTGATTGGTGCATCGCATTTCGTAAATATTAATTAGCACCGGAAATTCAAGTCATGATACTAATACACGAGTACAAGAACAGATTTATGTGATGCATGTCGTCGACATTTTAGAAATGCTTTACAATAAATATAAAGTTCGCAAAGAAGAAAAAAAGGCTTAAAGTCGTCCATTTTAATATAAATTATTTTTTATTATCACCACGTGGAATTGAAAAAAAAATAATATTTACATTGTGAAATGACGATGAATAAATAAGTTGTTAAATACAATAAATGATTAAAGGTAAAAATGATTAAAGATAAATATAAATGAAATAAATAACGCTTATTCTAATAAAAGAAAATATTAATATATACAAATATTTAAAATAAATAAATAAATAAATAAATAATTTTTTTCATTAAAGTCTTGTCTTTTCCGCCAACGCAAATCATCCGCATTATCCGCATTATCCACATTGACCACATTATATTATCTTATCAAATTATTGATGCTCCAAACGTAATTCCGGATGTTGTTCTTTTACTTTTTCCTATTCTCTTACCATCATCGTTGTCGTCGTCATTATTAAACGTGTTAAAGATGTTGCTGTTATCACCACCACCATTGACACCACCATTGACACCATCATCGCTACCACTATCACCACTATCATCGCCGCCACCACTACTAGAATCACCTCCGCCAACAGCAAAACCATCGCTAATGACGCTTAATTCACCTGAATCATCAGTATCATCATTAATATTGACAATGACGTTATTGTCAATAACGTTATTGTTACTACTATTAATACTAATATTACTATTAATATTAATATTATTATTAACATTATCATCATCCCTGATAATATTTTGGATATTATTACTAATATTACTATTACCAATTGTAAAATCATCATCATCACTACTGCCATAATAAATCATATGAGAATATCTTACTACCAGACCATTATTCAGAGATATCAATAATGCTATACTTGTTATAATATAGGTAGTATTTTTTGTTATGAAATTATTCCAGAAATTTGTTATTGTTGGAACTGATGAAAATCTATTTAAAGTAATTGATTGCAATATTAACAATAATATTGATAACAATATAATTATTGTTGATAGTATTATCTGAAAAAAAAAAAGAATAAAATTATAAATAATTAATAAATTATTAATATTATTTTGCAAGAATTGATAGCGATTTATTTACCTTTATTTTTTCTTTAAATAAATAAGCTTGAAAATTCATTCTTTTTCTACTATTCCTAATATGACGTTGTAATGAAGAATTACCATTATAATTTATAGCACTTGACATGCAGAATCCAAATATACCAAATGCCAACGATACAATCGCGCCAAATACACATTCTAATACAAGAAATATTAATTCCAATATACCAACAATTTTCATATCGCTGTCTACGTTATCATCGCTTATTATAGCAAATAGTAATAAATATATTATAAACGAAACTATTTTGATCAATGCTGCAAAGAATACTCCATATATAAATATTTTCATTAAAGATCTTATTCTAAAAACTTTATAATTGAATTCTTCTGATAAGTTCTTTGTAGCCTTCATCCTATAAATAGATGTATATCATGTGTTAATATTATATAATTATAATTATAAATTATAATCAATGATATGATATGAAATTTAATTTTTACCATGGAAATAAAAACCCAGCATAACAAAGACATAATAAAAGATAGCCAGCACCAACAATAGATTCATACGCTGTTTCTGATAATCTATCAAGATATATTGCCCAAGGATCGTACTCAACCATTGTAAGAAACACTAATGTGATAGATAATTGGTATAATTATTAATTACTAATTAATCACCGATTTCTAAATATGCAAGATTAATTAATCGTTATTATTATTTACCAGTTAAGCTTAAAGCAATCCCTCCAAGCAGCCAAGGTCTTGGATTTTTGATCTGATCTATTTGCTTATTTATTCCCGAGAATAACATATAAACGCTTGCCAATATTATAAGTATATAAACTATTCCAAATATAATTCTCGATATTAACAATCCGCAGCTTTCAATTAAACCAATCCAAGGTCCTGTATCTAGCGTAAAATCCACTGAAAATGATGATGACGATATATTTGACAAAAGGTTAGAAACTCGATTCGCATCATTCTCACTGATCAATGATAATAAGGGTATCGAGTTAAACAAAACATTCCAATCTCCAAGTCTTTTCTCCCTTATTCCTGGAGTTCCATCATTATTGAACGAAGTAAAGATTATCACACGTGGTATTATTGCTGTTGGTTGTGGTTGTTGTTGTTGTTGTTGTTTAGATACATTATCCAAAAAAAAATCTTTACGTCTGGATGTCGGTGTGAATGTTTCTTTAGATGACGAAGGAGTTTTATTGGTGGTAACTGTTCCAGTTCCAGTTTTAGTTTTAGTTTTAGTTTTAGTTTCAGTTCCAGTTCCAGTAGTTTTTGTGGCATCAGTAGTAATTGTTGTGGCATCAGCAGTAATTATTGTGGTATCAGTAGTTGTTGTTATGGCGTCAGTAGTAGTTGTTGTAGTTGTTGTTGTTGTTGTTGTTGTATTAGTAAATGCGAAGGAGGTAGTTTCAGCAGCAATACTAGTAGTAAAATCATCAGGATCAATGGATGATGAATATGTATTTGTTTCATTATCATTGTTTGATGTTGTCGTCCAATTGTTGCTATTTGAAAAAAAGAGAATGAATCTATATTTAGTCTTAATTAAAGTTTTTTCATTGAATTGATCATCTTAATCTAACTTGTTAATAAAGGAAAATTTGTTTTCCCATTATGATATTATTACTATTATATTATTATTATTATTATTATTTTGTTTGTTATTATTATTATTATATATAAAAAAATCTTTATTTGGAATGAAAAAAGAAAACAATATTAATATTTAAAAAATATTAAATATTTGTTAATCCCTTACACAAAGAACCCCCGAACTTTAAAAATTATAATGATGCCATATTACATATTACACAACAAAAAACCGAAGTTTCAAGAATAATGATTATTCCAATGATCAACCAAATGGAAGGATATTCCGCCAAAGTTACACAAACACAAACACAAACACAAGCACAAACCTTTTAATAATATCAGCAAAAGATGGACATCCGAAACCCTCCTTAAACGGAATCAATAAAATGTCTGTTTTGTTTGATAACGGTTTCAGAACACAATTTGTCGTTGTTGATAAATCATCGCTAGAGGTATCGTTTCCTAGAAATGTGGCAATTGCTATATTTCCATTAAGAACATTTGAAGATGAGTAATAATTATTGCCCATTATAAAATCTATAGTTTGAAAACTAGTGTTGTCGTTGTTGTCATTAGTGTGAAATATTAAATAACCATTACATTTCTGAATGGATATTATCATTAATATGAAAAAAATTAGAAGGGTGTTATTAATAAAAGACTGGCGAAAATAGTTATTACTGTTGCCATTATTGGGAGGGGGGGTGGGGGAGGGAGAAGGGGGGCTAGAAGTAGAAGAAAAAAGAAAACAATAATCACGACATTGATTTGATTTTATTATTAAACACCAGTCTTTTAATTCGTTAATTCGCCCGAACATAGCAAAGATAAGTCATTAAGAAATAATTTATAAAAATTTTCTTTTCTTTTCTTTTCTTTTCTTTTCTTTTCTTTTCTTTGATTGCTTTTTTAGACAATTAATTAAAAATTTATTTGAAAATCAACGTTTCGAGTTGTATGTTTGCTAAGTTCGGGCGTTTAAGTATATTATATATATATATATATATATATATATAATTTTTTTTGAAGCAATGTAAAGTGATTTAAATTATCATTTAAAGATTTTTTCTGATTAATTAAGTGGACGTTTTTTCCTTGCTATTCTCTCTAATCCAGGAGAGAGAGAAAGAGGAAAAGAGAAGAGAAGAGAAGAACGAGACGAGACGAAAAAATTTTAAATTAAACGAAAAGAAAAAGAAAAGAAAATCGACCTTTAATTAATTAATTAATTAATTGGCAAAGAGACCAGGGTTAGAAATAGAATTTAATAGAAGAGAGAAGGGGAGATTTTATATTTATATTTAATATTTTTTTTTAATGTTTATAACAATTAAATAATATAAACCATCTACTAAACATAAATAATAAAATCATTTTAGAAAGGTCTTTATTTATGTATGTTTTACAAACAATTCTGCAAAATGAGAGTTACAATTTCACAAGTAAATACATTACATACAAAGCATATTAGCTACTAATGCAATAATTTAAAATGATTCGTCGTAACACACAATTAAATGAAACGTTATTTTAATCATAGTAAATGTGAGGAATGAAAAATAAGATTATTAAACTATATAAATTAATTAATTAATTAATTAATTAATTAGTTAATTATAAAATCAATAAAATTTAATCAAAATTAAAATTGTTATTTGTTTCAGTCTGCCATTCATCCATTCATTCCTTTATTACCTGGGAGGGCCATGAAAGCATTTATTTGTTTGTTAATTATTTATCATACATGGTACATGTACATCAATTTAATGAATGCATTGACTTTAAAATTTTATTTATTTATGACATCATTGATTATTGTCAAATTTGTTTGTAAAGGATAACTTTTCCCCTATTTTTTTTTTCTTGCATAATCGCATAATCTATTTTAAGATTACGTTATATAAAAGGAGACGGCAATGAAGGTGGAACGAGAAAGATGGATAAAGTCAAAAAAAAAACCATATGAATTCATAGATATTTGGGAAAAAGATATCGCCGCGGTTGAATGACAATTATCTTTCGGCTTTAAGTTATATCGGGATTCAATGCAAGATATATCCTTCAATTGTAAATTATATTAATATATTATTAATATTTAATATTAATACAAATCGCTGTGTGAATAAACATTTATAGGAATCTTGGAATATTTTTTATTTAAACGTTTCCCCCCAAAAACATGCAATTTTTGTCCACGAGTACTTTGAAAAGAGAACGAGAGATGATCATCAGTTATACAAGATAGGAATTAAAAATAATCGATCATTTTTATAAAATATGGATTTATTAAATTTAAAAATGTCCCACATGGATTTATTTGTATACTGGGCAGAAGAGAAGTTGTACTTGCTTAAACTTAATGAATTGTACGACGTTGCTTTTGTTCAAAAGTTGATTTTTTTTTGCAATATATTTACAAATTTGAGTCAACTAGTGCAATACAAAAATGGGGCAAACCTGTAGAATGTAAAGCGTGTAAATTAACAAGATACTCTGATAGATATATTGCAAAAATTATGTTTGCATCTACAAGATCATTTTGCTACTTGGGAAATGAGACAGTTTGCAACTTTATTCAACAATGTCAAATGCAATCATCTCTTCCAAGCTTCATTGTTGAATGGATGAATGAATACCTTATAACCAATTTAACAGAAGGTGGGCTTGGTGGCATTTATATTGCTACATTGATGGACAAGAGGGACTTAGTCATGCAGTATTAAAATGTTTTAAAGAATTCAAGTGATCCATGAAAAGTTTTTTTTTTTGATCAAACAGAAAATTATTGCATTGATAAGAAAACGTTAATTAATCCCATGTTTTTATAAATTCCCAGGCGAGGAAGGAAATTATTTACAAAAAAACATCTCATGAAAAAGATTGGATTTAATCCATCGTGATTTACAACATATCAATGCAAAGTGGTTCAAAGAAAAGAGAGTCAAATATTTATAGCGTTGTGATGCTTATTTGCAGGTCATCCCACCGTTTGATGACGATAGAGCCCACAACTATTTAGTATATGAAGGTTTACGACCATAGATTTTACCAGGAACCCATGAAGAATATGTAAAATACCAGCATGTAATTTAACTAAAAAGATTATTCAATGTAATTGCGATATTGGTGGCGGTGACAGTAATGATAGCGGTAGTAGTAGTAGTAGTAGTAGTGATAACGATAATATTTTTACAACATCCAGCACATCAATAAATTAATTAATGGGTTTTTTTAATTTGTGCAGTTGTAACAGTAATAATAGTAACAATAATGATTTACGCGTAATATACTCGAGAGATTCATTGGCGTATCATATTGGATGAAGAAATGGCTAAAGCAGGAAAAATTTATATTTTTATAAAGGTGAATTAAAATAATTGAATGAAATATGCTAATCGTTGATTTATTACCAACAAGATAATTAATAGTAAAGGAAAAGAAAGGCATTGAAACAATTGGCAAGGTTGATGAATTGACATGTCATTCAAGAATCTTGGATGATGATGTTACAATTAAAAAGTAACAATGCTCCCCATTAATATTAATAATATTAAATGACATTGATTGCTTGATGACATTTTAAATATTAATATTGTTAACTTTACCAACAAGATTTTTTATTCTTGGAACGAATTCTTTTATTCCCACTATCATTTTATTTTTATTTTTCTTAAACTTTACTAAATTAGATTAATTAAAGTAAAATTCACCTGTTTACTATTATTATTATTACCTGTTTTACGTTAACACAAATTTTGTGTTAACCCCGATAAGATATTTTTCATTTTGGATATTTTTATTTTTAGAATTTAAAAAATCTTAAAAAAATATTTTTTTTAAACTAATAAGATAAAAATGTCATTTGAAAGGTTATTATCACCAGACAGAAAAGAATTTGTACATAAAAATTATAGTAAAATGTATAATAATGCTGGAGCAAATACGCCTGGTAAAAAGAGTATAAAGAAATATTTCATGCAATCAGTTAAAAGAAATAAAGAGCTTTTAGGAAAAGAAAAAAAATATTGTAGAGAAAAGTTTATTTATGATTTTGAATTAAACAATGCAATTGGTAAAGTGGGCAAACCTACAGAATGTAAAAAGTGTAAACTTGTAAGGTACTCAGCCAGGTATTGCGAAAATTGTATTAGTCTGCACCTACAAAATTTTTTTAATGCTTGGACGTCAGGAAATAAAGCTGTTGATAACTTTATTCAACATTGTCAAAAGCTTTCACCTCTTCCAAATCAAATTATGGAATGGATACCTTATAACCAATTCGCAAAAATAAAAAAGTTGACAGAAGGTGGATCTAGTGTTATTTATTCTGCTACATGGGTAAGGGGAGCCATTTCTGATTATGACGAAAAGAAAAAAGACTTTAGTTACCTTGGGCCTCAGAAAGTAGCATTAAAATGTTTAAAAAATTCAAGTGATCCAGGAAAGGTTTTTTTCGACGAGGTTGGTAATTTCATAATTATTATTATGTACACACACATTCATTCATGGAATGTGTGATATTAACATATTTACGCATAATAAAATGCAGGCATTGAATTTTTGTAAAATTAGATCATCATCGATTGTTTATTGCTACGGAATAACTAAATTTCCAGATGATAATAATTATGCGTTAGTTCTAAATTATTTTGAAGAAGGAAGCTTAAGAAAATATTTACGAAAAAACCATTCAAAATTAACCGTTAAAGATAGAATCACAATATTTTATAGTATTTGCAAATCATTATATTATATACATGAAGAGAATTTAATACATTGTGATCTACATAGTAGTAATATATTAACACAAGGTGGTAACTGTTATATTACAGACTTGGAATCATGTGGTCCGGTTTATGATAGATTATCAACTAAAATCTATGGAGTTGTGCCATATATTGCACCTGAAGTTTTTCAAGATAAAAAATTCACAAAAGAATCTGATATTTATAGTGTTGGAATGTTGATGTGGGAAATATTTGCTGGAACTCGACCATTTGATGATAGGGCTTATGATTATCGATTAGCTTCTGACGTTTGTGAAGGATTAAGACCACCGATATTACCGGGAATACCAATCAAATATGCAAAAATGATACAAAAGTGTTGGGATGGAAATCCAACCAAAAGACCAACCATCGGAGAACTTTATATGTATGCTCAAAATACATTAGACGAAATACGTAAAGCTGAAAATTTAAAAAACAGTAATTTAATTAAAAGATTTTTCAAATTATCCAAAAATGTAAAATATGTTGGTAACAAAAACTATAATTTACATCAACCATACCAATCGCATTTGTTTGAATATTATACAACCAGAACATCAGATGATCAAACTGAAGAACCTGATGATAATGATGAAAATTTAAAATCGGATTTTGATAACAATATTAATGTTAATATTAATAATAACGATGGTGATGATGCTGGTAATTCAATTTTATATGTATTTTAAACAATATTGAGATTTGCTAATTGTTAATTTATCACTAATTATATGTTTTATTCTTCAATAAACTATTAATATAATCAATTAGATTCTAGCGTTAACAGTAAAGGAAAAGATATTGAAAAAACTAGTGATGAATTGACATCTCATTCAAATAGAATATTAGATGATGATGATGTTTCTAAATCAGAAGAATTAAAAAGTAACAATAGCTCATCAGACAATCTTGAAATTCCCGAAATAAATGCTAATTTTAATACAGGTGAATTAAGCAATTCATCAATTGAAAATTACAAATTATTAATTTATTGCTTACTAACAAGATGTTGTTTTTTTAATCAATTGAATAATAACAATAGATACTAGAAGATGGGGTATCTACGGGAATGTTTATGAGTATAATTATTCTTGATTTTATATTTTGTTTAATTGTCATTTATCCATGTAATATAATTGTCAATTGGTTTATTAAAATCCGTTATGAACTCGATTAGTTTTGGCCGATTTTAAACAATAGAATCATTTCTATACAGTAGAAATCAGTTTTGAGCGATCGAGCTGTCACAAACCATATAAAAGGATTATGAATCAATGTACCTTCAAATAACCCTCCAACAACTTTCAGTAATTGATAATTCCTAATAACAAGCTTTGGCTTGAAATTATAACTAAAACTAAGGAAAAGGCGTTGAATATGAATTGGAGATTTGGTCGATGGTCAATTTTATTAATTCACGTTTAGGTTTTTTATATGTTCCCAAGATATGTTCAGCCGAATGCAAATCACAACAGGCCATAATAGGTAATAGATAATTCATTTGTTATCCAAATTACTGCCGAGCAATTCTTTTTCCTTTGCTTATCTGTGCATGATGAGTGGTTAATTAAAGTTCCTCGATTTAATTCTTGGAGAGAGCGTATACTTGAGGGAGGATTTTTAATAGAATATGTTCATAATTCTAATGCTAATTCTAATATGTTATTAAATGTGTGTTATTTACTAATTTTTGTCATGCTTCATACCATCGCTCTAAAGTCAGAGCCGAATTCGTTGTTAAACGAATCAGATTATAGCTCACTTGGGAGTCTAAACTTTCGTTTAATTGGAAAAAATCAATTATAACCAATAAATAAATAATATTAATATTGTAGTTTTCTACCGATTTCTTGATTGATTCTATTCTTTTAGACTTTCGTCAAATATGAATATAAACATATTTATATTTCTTATTCTCTTGAGAGATAATTTGATTTCAATATCAGATACTATATATATAGCCGATTAATCAATTCATAAAATTGCTGTTTTAGTTTAAGTATTAAACAAATTATTAGATAAAATGGAAGTCGTTGGGATTTTGTTCTCGGCTGGATCTAATGCATTATTACTAATTAATAAGGTTGGTCCGCAGCCACGAACACTGTACAACATTTGAGTCTAAATCAAAAAAAGTGAACAATTATATTATACATATAGGGATTATCCCTCTATGTAATATTGTATCACTCATCTAAACAAACAAACTGTTTTTACATCAAAAAACAATGTAAACAATCATCCCTCCTTGTGTTTGAATAATAATTACAAACTTCAGGGCCGCCTCCTGAATTTTATTTTAATTGCATGTATCGTAAATAAGAATGGTTGACGAAATTTGACGAAACTGACGAAATTGATTTAGCCAATCAAATCAGGTACTTGTGATACTTGCTGATCACCAAATAATAAATTTGATTCCTATACATATATTGATTGTTTTTATATAGTGTAAATCATGCATCAACTTTGGACAAGGATAGTGATGGGAAAAGTGCTGGTAATATGTAATTACCATATCAGCCTATTTGTTTTTTGGGCCTTTCTTTCAAACCCTACACACATGTAAACTCGATAGGTCGGTCACTTATTTATTTTAAACAATTTCCGACTTAATTAGCTTACTATTACATGTATATTTTATTGTGTATGTGTAACCGGTAAGTAGAGTGATTATTAACCCCCAAAAAAACTATTTTACTATTCGATAGCCCGTCAAACCAATGGCACTACCTCAAAACTAATGGATTATTATGCATATACTCAAAGTACTTTTTTGAGAACCTAGGGTTTTAATGATTTTATTAATTATGTTATACATGGCATTTTATATAGCAATTCAATATGCAGAGTAACGTTGGGTATTTACCATGGTAATTATTCTCAATTCTTTTTTATCATGATGATGATGATAAGACAAAGGGTTCCAATCTAAATCATTTTTTGGTTACACTATTATACTGATCAATGTTTGGCCATACTTTTGATCGTTGGTTATGAAAATTTGGTCGGTTTAAATTGGTCAACTTCAATTTCGTCAATGTGACGAAATTAACAACGGGTTGACGAAATAATTTCCCGCCCTGCAAAGTATTCCGCCAACCATTCTTAAACCATAAAATGCAATTCAGTATTCCTGATAAATTTTTATTTGCATTTTTCATCTTCATGGTCGCAACCCACGAATTATATAAGCGGGAATAATATCAATGTAAAAAGTCCACCGAAAATCTACGTTTCCTGCTTTCTGTGATGCCGATAAATTTCTAGAATAGTTCGCAAGCCTAGAAGTTAATTCATCAGAAATATATTACCACGGCCCCCTCATTTTTCGAATAGCACAAAAATAAATCAAATGCTAATATAATTGTGCTAAACCTATATGTTGTGCGATACTTTATTAATTATAAAAAAATCAGCAAATCTATCCTGACATATTAATTAATATTAATATAATGACAATTGGTCTTCGAAAATTATACTAATAGAAAACACGATTATAGCTTAGAAAGTAGGTTGCAAACCAGCAATTGCAACCTTGACAAGTTTTGGCGAAGGGGTGGGCACCCTCTCGTAAGTAGAACGTGATGGAGAATTAAGCGGAATGTTAAAACTTTAGAAATACGATGCTTAAAATCACAAGAAGAAAGAAAGAAAGAAAGAAGTTAAATGGTTGTTGACGATTGCATCAAAGATAATAAACAGCTATTACTCTTAACCATTTACTTTAATATTATAAAACGCTTCTAAAACTGGCACCAAGCTTAAGATTTTTTCTTGTTATATCGGGACAAATACGTTTTCAACCAAAATCATTCTGTATATTCCATTATAATTTGAATCCATCTCGTAAATGCGAATGTGCGCACCTATTAATGCAATCAAATGTTAGTTAGTAAATGTACTAAATACTCAAACCAAATTTGCATACTTACCACAAACCAGGTTGGCAAATATGCGGTCCATTGGTGGTCAATTAGTATTTTATTAATGACAATGGACCAGCCAATTTGCCAATCCCGCCACAAACCCATATTAATTCGTTCAGGCACCCGCTTGGAAGTCGGCGAGTTTTATGGAATCTTTTTTTCATCGATACAGATGATGAGTCCTTTGGTTTAACTTCTCCAAAGAGAATTTCATCTCCAATATTAATCAAAATCTTGAAGTCAGTTTTGTTTGAGTAGGACCAACTATCGACAGTATATTCGTTGAAATAATCTGAGTAAAGATTTTTTGACATAGATAGATTCGCGAAATTACTTTCAGATCATAACAAAATAATACCCGACCGTGTGTATCCATCCAATCAAATTTTTGTATGACCTAATTTTTCATTGGATATTTTTGTTAATAAAATTATGTAGTTCTACTTTTTGAAGCATTCATTTCATTTTAAGGATAACATACAATTTTATTTTTATTTTTTTAGACAGTATCATTTTATAGCTCCTTTTTCATCTCCTATTAAAAATTGACCACTCACGACTTCCTCATAATTTGTTAAATAAAGAACCATTGATGGTGAGTGATGATGGCATGAATCTTTTTTTTTAAATCAAATATTACACATGCGGACGATTTTCAAATTAGGAAAGTCCTATATATATATATAATGGCAACGTATGAAAAATTTGAAAACGAATTAAATAAAGTAGGAAGAGAAAGGAAAGAAAAAGAGAAATTAGAAAAGGAAAGGATGATTGGGTGAACAAGTGCGAAAACTACAATATGCGTTAATTAATAAAGAAAAGGGTTATGAACAAACTGCGTAAAAAAATATATAAATTTCCATTCATTCCATTTCGTTTATTTGTTTATCTGTTTGAGGGAGCATTTAATATACTGTTTAGGAATTTAATTAACTTGCGTTATTTTTTCAATATTTCGTTTTCGATTCTTTTTTGTTCATTTTTCTTCTCATCAATTAATCGTTATTCATTCCGAGAATTAATCGTTTTCATTATCTAGTTAGACAAGATAAGCCATTTTATATTCTATTTGTCATTTTGATTAGCTTGTAAAATTTTAAGAGTTAATACTGTTTTTGATATATTTTTTTAATAATACATTAGTACCAACAATTTACAACAACACAAAAATCATTGATGCTTTTCCTGAAGATATTTATTTAACAATTCTCACCATTACAGAAATGGAGATGATGCTTTCAGTTTCTTCTTGTTTTCAAATATGGATCTGGTTGATATTACCATTTCAAACCAGGAGAGGTAACTAAAGACTTTGGTTCAATGTAAGGTAAACCTAACGAACAAATGGTATGGGTATGTGCAGCTTCGATGTGAGAAGTGCAAATTTTTGGTGAGAATTGTTAAATAAATAAATAGGCCAATTTATCTTTTCTTCTCTGGTGCTGGCACTAGAAAATCCAGAAATCCGAATTTCATAATACATTAATCAAATGTTCGAATTATTCAAAGGATTTGAAGCAAAAAAAAAAAATTTCAAAATGCTTGGGTATTTAAGAAAACGGTACCAGCTTTTCTAAGAGTGTTGAGCCAATTGGTATTCTAGCTGTTGGAATTTGAATGTTTTGGCAACTTTTCCCTGATTCTGAGGTTTTTAGACGTTTTATTCTTACTTGTGAGGCTCCAACCCTATGGGAGGCCCTTCGATTGATAGCCAGGCATGAGAAAAAAGACATGAAGCAAATTTCAGTTATTTTAGTTGTTGATGACCCGTAGAATTCCACGACAACATTAGATGATGGGCTTAACCAAAACTCCGCATTTTTATCAGAAATTGGAGATCTTGCATTGAGTATAATATTTTCTTGATTGCAGTTGCACTGCAACAATTTCTCGCACATTAAAATCTACCTTGAAACCAACGGGTCGACTACGTATAAATTTACCAATAATTTCCCTTCAACCTTCAGAACAACATTATTACATCAGTTTTTCGACAGGACAATTTCACATCATTAAATTGCTTATGGATGATTGCGGGAACATGGAAAAGCCCTTGAAGTGCTTGCGGAAACATTAAAAGATAAAAATATCAATGAATGCAACATTGATAATTTGATGCATCATTTATGTTCTAATCTTACTTGTTGCTTTTCAATATAACTGCTTTAGAAGCACAGATCAGATTCCTTCATTCGGCCTGGATTAATTCGATTTGAAAGAATAGGGAATAGTGCTGAGGGATATTTCGAAGTACCATACATTTGGGTTTGGATAATAGCACAGCAAGCTACAAAAAATGGAGATCCATTACTTAAAGACTGGTAATTCCATGATTACAGAGAGTATTTGACCGAAGGTTGGAATCGTTTGGAACATTTCATTGCAACCTTTTGTTCATTAAAATCTAAGGTACTATGTGAAAATGAGCTGACAACAATTTCAGAAATTCATGCTGGAACACGTCTACATTTGAATGATGATTCCGAATTCAAGAATCATCACTTAAAACTGAAATGTGCTATTCATCATGTGAATACAAATTCTGCTACTTGTGGTAAAAAAGAGTGGATATTGAATGTGAAGGTGCATGTGTCAATGTTCGGTAAGGTAAACATTATCACAAATGCACAATCTGCTCCATATTGTGACTCTTTTCTTGGGTTAGACCAATCAAAAAATAATAATCCAAATGAAGTTCATCAGGCTAAAAGGTGGAAACTAAAATCACCTTCTCTGAATGATTATCAAAATGAACGAAACAAACCTGCACGTGATAAAGACTTTTTATTCTTTTTACAACTGCCCAAACTACAATTTCGAACTTCCGATGGACTCTGGGATCGTGGATGGCTCCAAACGGAAAGAATACTTTAGGCCATTTGCTGGTAGAGCATATGTTTATGCTATTGTAGGTCCATTGAATATCAATACTGCAGCTCATGACAATTGATGGTATTGGTGAAGGCTGAGTGTACACAATTCTCAAAAAGCGACCATTTAAAAACCTTGAAGATGCAAAAACGAAAATAGGTGTACCAGAAAAGGTATTGGAAAGATTAAAATTTCTAGAGGTGACAGATTAATTTAATTACCATCATTAATTAACAATTATTATTAAATTTTTTTTTTTTAAATTATTTTATTAATGATTTTTAAGAAACAAAAAAAAATTTTTTAAAAAAGTTTATATTATATATTATTTTACAATTAAATAATATCTAACTTTGTAACACATATTTAATATATATTTTAAAAAATACTCGATTATTAGTAGTGAAACAAATAATGATGATAAATAAAGTAAAAAAAAAATCAAAGAATATAATATATATATTTATATATATATATAAGATTGTTTTAAATTTATATCATTATTAGTAGAATCTTTTATTTATAAGATTTTGTGGTTTTAGTAGTTTTGGTTCCATCACTATCTGTTGTTGTTGTGGTGGTACTTGATTCAAAAAATTCTTCTTCGTCAGACTGATCTATTGTTGGTCCACCTTCACTACCACTAGTAAAAGTTCTTATGGTTTTAGATGTTCTTGAACCACCGCTATTTGTAATATCATCGTCGTCATCACCTACTATTACAGTTTTTACAGTTTTTGAAGTTCTTGATCCACCACTATTTGTATTACCGTCATCATCACCTTCTACTACTATAGTTCTTGTGGTTCTTGATCCGCCACTAGTTGTATTGTCGTCATCACCTTCCACTACTACAGTTCTCGTAGTTCTCGATCCACCACCAGTTGTAATATTATCGTAATCAATATTACCATCATCATCACCTTCCAATATTACAGTTCTTATGGTTTTTGAAGTCCTTGATCCACCACTAGTTTCATCGTAATCAATATTACCATCATCATCACCTTCCACTATTACAGTTCTTGTAGTTTTTGAAGTTCTTGATCCACCACTAGTTTCATCGTAATCAATATTACCATCATCATCACCTTCCACTATTACAGTTCTTGTAGTTTTTGAAGTCCTTGATCCACCACTAGTTTCATCGTAATCAATATTACCATCATCATCGCCTTCTACTATTACCTTTCTTATGGTTCTTGAAGTTCTTGATCCACCACTAGTTTCATCGTAATCAATATTACCATCATCATCGCCTTCTACTATTACCTTTCTTATGGTTCTTGAAGTTCTTGATCCACCACTAATATCAATATTATCGTCATCATCACCTTCTACTATTACTTTTCTTGTAGTTTTTGAAGTTCTTGATCCACCACTAGTTGTAAAGTCATCGTAATCAATATTATCGTCATCATCACCTTCTACTATTACTTTTCTTACAGTTTTTGAAGTTCTTGATCCACCACTAGTTGTAAAATCATCGTAATCAATATTATCGTCATCATCACCTTCTACTATTACTTTTCTTATGGTTTTTGAAGTTCTTGATCCACCACTAATTTCATCATAATCAATATTATCATCATCATCACCTTCCACTATTACCTTTCTTATGGTTCTTGAAGTTCTTGATCCACCACTAGTTGTATCATCGTCATCACCTTCTACTATTACTTTTCTGATAGTTTTGGAAGTTCTTGATCCACTAGTTGTAACATCATCGTTATCAGAATCACCTTCTACTATTACAGTTCTTGTAATCCTTGATCCACCACTAGTTATGTCATCGTCATCATCTTCTGCTACTACTCTTCTGATAGTCTTGGAAGTTCTTGTTCCGCTAGTTGTAACGTCATCGTTATCAGAATCACCTTCTACTATTACAGTCCTTGTAATTCTTGATCCACCACTGGTTGTTGTGTCATCATCATCTCCTGTTACTACTGTTCTTGTGACCTTTGTAACTGAAGACGTATTATCGTCATCGTCATCACCTTCTACTATTACAGTTCTTGTAATTCTTGATCCACCACTGGTTGTTATGCTATCATCATCTCCTGTTACTACTGTTCTTGTGACATTTGTAACTGAAGATGTATCATCGCCACCTTTTGCTAATTTATTATTGTCGTCATTATTAGTTTTTTTGATTGTTGTCTTAGTATGTCCTTGAGGTTGAATAACTTTTTTTGATTTTGATGTAGTACTTTTAGTTGTGGAAGTGGGCGCTGAAAATGGAATAGTTTTATTACTTGATGAGGGGGAGGTTGGTAGTTTTGAAGATTCTTCTGTAGTAACTTTACTTATAACAGGCGATGATGGACTGTAACTTTTTGTAGTTGTGCTGGAGGATGAAGGGGTAGGGATCTTGGAATCTTTTGGTGTGGTAGAAGTAATTGATTTTGATGTTTTGGTAACAGGTGTTGAGGAATAGGTTGTTGATTTTGATGTTTTGGTAGTAGGTGTTGAAGAATAGGTTGATGAGGGATTAACAACATCTTTTTTATTATTTTTATCTTTTTTAGTAGTAGTAGTAGCGGCAGCAGCAGTAGCTATGATGGTAGCTGCGGTAGTTGCATCAATGATATCATCGTCGTCATCATCTTTAATTGTTTGTTTAGGGGCAGTAGGAGAAGTCACAGGAGGAGACGATGATTCTGGTGATGTGGATTCGGGTGTAGATGTAATAGTATCATCTGGTGTTTTATTGGTGGTTGTAGTATCATCTGGTGTTTTATTGGTGGTTGTGGTATCATCTGGTGTTTTATTGGTGGTTGTAGTATCATCTGGTGTTTTATTGGTGGTTGTAGTATCATCTGGTGTTTTATTGGTGGTTGTAGTATCATCTGGTGTTTTATTGGTAGTTGTAGTATCACTAGTAATGATGGGATAGCCACTAGAAATATATGTGCCACCGTATCCGTATCCACTACTATATCCACCGTATATATGAGAGTTATCACCACTTTCATCATCATCATCAATTGGTTGTGTATAATCAATAGCGGCAATATCTAATTCGCTTGTTGCTGAAGTTCTGTTGGTAGCATCATCATCATTAACATCCCTTGTAATTGTCTTTGGTTCATTGCCAACTAAACAAAAAAAAAAGGGAAAAACATAATTGATTAATTTTTCAATCAACCAACCAATCAGTTAATAAGTTAATTGATTACATACCGTTTTCATATGTATTAGCAGATTTAGTTAAATCATCTTTGTCATCAGTAGGCGAAGAACCAATTGTTCTTAGTTTATTTTCTTTTTTTGGTGGTTCATTACCATATTCAGTAAGAGGTTTGGTAGGAGTAGATTTATTGGTGTCACCACTAGAAACATCAGAGCCACTACTGCTATTACTATCACTATCATCAGGTTTTTTAACAACTTTGCTTTCTTTAGGAGGTGGCATATCTGTTAATTTTTCATTTGGTCCTCTTGGTATGTCATCATCATCACTAGAATCTGAATCTTTACCACGTTCATCATCATGTTTTTCATCTTGGTTATTATGACAACAAATGGAACAAGATAAAACGATGAATTTCAATAATAATAATAATAAACAAGACGATAATACCAATATTGGCAATATTGCTGGAACAACAGTCCAGTAAATATATAGACTATAAATAATCAATTGAGGTAAATCTTCAATGAACGTAATAAGCGCTGTCATGAAAAGGATTTCCGTCTTGCCTTTATGTGAAAATGGTGCACTCAGTGATTTTATACCAGCAGTCCTTGATGACAAGACACTCAATGCTACGGTATCAATACATGATAGAATTCCGAATATCCATGCTATCAGACTATATTTTTGCCACCATTTAGAAAAGCTTTCACCACGTTGTTCAGCTTTTTTGATCGATAGCTCATTTGAAAAGGTGAAAAATGTAAATATACAATTTAATACAATAGGAACTATTAAAAATACAAGACTGTCAGGAAATGAAGAGAATATATATTAGCATCTTTTCTTCCATTTTTTTATTCAAGATTTTAGAATTTATTATTAAATTTGATTAATTGTTACCTTGTAGGCCACAACCATTTTAAATCTTTTCCATGATTTGCAACAAAACCAACATCCATTCCAAAATCTATAAGAATGATTGGGAACAAGACAATAGACGTGAAATTTCTTCCACTTTTGTTTTTTAGGTGGGCCCAGAACAACAAAACTAATAAAATTGCTAATCCGATAAAAAATCCAATAAGAATCCATTTATAAGTATCCCATAATCTAGCTATAATAAATTTTATTTAAATTTAAAAAAAATTATTAAGGGTCGAAAATATTTCTCAATATCATCATCGTCGTCATCTTTTTTAAAAGAAAAAAACTTACTTGCTGGATAAGCTCCATGAGTAGAATCCAAGTACATTGTTGATGCACCTTTTGAAAGAGTATTATAATCTTTATTAACAATAGTATCATTTAAATAAGAGACAAGTGTTGCAGGGCTTGTTCCAGTCGATGTAGCTGAAAAATCAACACTTAATAAAATTTGATCAACGAGTGTATGTTTCCAATCATATTGATAATGCAATGACACGTCGACAATTGACTCCTCACAACCAACCGCTGTCGATATTCCTGTTTTCATTCCATCAATAAAAACTGTTTTATCTGTTTGATTAAACGACAAATATTTTTCAGTGCCTAGAATCGTCAAACGAACAATTGCCTTATCCCACGTTCCTCCAGAAACATCATACCCATCACTACCGGTTGTAATATTCCACTGTTTTCCTGTTATACCAATCAGACTTTGTTGTTTGCTATTTTCTTTTACAAAGCCATTGTCAACGGTAACGAAATAAGTTGTATCTGGTTTGTTCAATGAAGTTTTCATCACTTGAACCTGTACCACTTTACTCTCATTATCACTTATACTGACAAATGGCGATAATCCAGAACTGGTTTGACGCATTACACCTTGGGATGACGAGTTCGTTGATCTTTCGTAAATTGTGATATTCTTTTCTGCTAATAAGACTGGTACATTGTATGAAATGCTAATATATTCCGCACCATATTCAAATCTACCTCCTTTTTCTGGTTGTGTACTAACGATATTTGAGCTACCATAACCACCCGGTCCATCAGTACCTCCTTGAACTATTATTAATTAATCATTGGCAAGTTAGTAAATAGGAGGAAAAAAAATAAATTACAAAAATATAAATATATATAAATAGAATACAATATTACCAGTGGTAAAACTAGTTAGTGTGCTAGTGGACATTAAAGTCCAAGTAGTTGAATCAGATGATTGGACCAAAGGATAAAGGATGACCCAAACAGTATTATTTCTGAGAGTTCCATAATCTGTACTATATTTAATAGTTTGTGAAGAAAGACCCCAATCACTAAAATAAGTACCATAATTGCTAATCACAAGACCATTGATATCATTATTAGCATTTTTCGCCGTGATAATCCATCCACCATGATACAAAGTTTCAACAGTTAAAACCTCCCAACCATTAAGCTGAGTCAACTCAAACTGTGTCACGTTGTTTGCCGCACCTGTGGAATAAAAATCTATATTTACAAAAACATTTTTTTCCACGGTATTTTCTATTGTCAATATACTTATAATACAGCTATATCCAAAACTTTGATATGCTATATTGCATCTTTCAATATTAAATGAATTGATAACTAAAGTTGATTCTGTATACAGTACGAATGGGCCTATCGCATCATCATCTTTTGGTAAAAAGTATGTGGACACCGACCATGATGTCTTGTCGATTTCTCCACTGGCTGTAACTACGGAATAACCACCATCTTCTGTTGGAAAAATGTATGTAGCATTCGTATAATTCGTGGAAGTGAATGTGAATGTATTGATTGTTCCTGATTTAAGAGTTGTAAATGTTCCTTCAAAATCACTTTTTTTAAAAAAAATTTTTTTAATAGCATTAGAAATCAAATTAAATTAAATCAAATCAAATCAATCAAATTAAATCAAATCAAATCAAATCAAATCAACTCAAATCAAGTCAAGTCAAATAATAATAATAAGTACTAACATAGCTGTATATGTTTCCCAAAAAAGTTTTTGTGTGCTAGTATCAGTGACATAACATGCCCTTAGAAAACCATCAGTATCAGAATCATAACCCTTAACAATAGTTTCATATTTGCAAGTATTACTATAATCAAATTTCAATTCAGGATTAGTTATCTGACCATCCCAATTTATTGCAGTAACACATCTTTGTTCTGTTGTAGCATCACAATAATAAGTCACCAATATATACTGATCTTTGGTAGCGTAAACTCCAATCGAATCTTCTACAACTACATACGGTGAATTTGGTGAATTTGGTGAATTTGGTGTTGGTGTTGGTGCTGGTTGAATGGTGGTGGTAATGGTTTCACAAGCAGCAGGGGTTCCGGAACACGTGGTAATAACTGTAGGAGTTGGAGCTGGAGCTAGTGTTGGTGCTTGTGTACATCCGGTATCATTAGGTCCACAAGTTGTAGTTGGTGCTGGTTGAATGGTGGTGGTAATGGTTTCACAAGCAGCAGGAGTTCCAGAACACGTGGTAATAACTGTAGGAGTTGGAGCTGGTGTTGGTGCTTGTGTACATCCAGTATCATTAGGTCCACAAGTTGTAGTTGGTGCTGGCGCTGGAGCTGGAGCTTGTGTACATCCAGTATCATTAGGTCCACAAGTTGTAGTTGGTGCTGGCGCTGGTGCTGGAGCTTGTGTACATCCGGTATCATTAGGTCCACAAGTTGTAGTTGGTACCGGCGCTGGAGCTGGAGCTTGTGTACATCCAGTATCATTAGGTCCACAAGTTGTAGTTGGTGCTGGAGCTGGAGCTTGTGTACATCCGGTATCATTAGGTCCACAAGTTGTAGTTGGTGCTGGTGCTGGAGCTTGTGTGCATCCGGTATCATTAGGTCCACAAGTTGTAGTTGGTTTTGGTGCTACTGGAGTCGGAGTGTTACATTTATGGTCATCTTGAGAACATGTTTTAGAAGGAGCCGTGGTACATCTGGTATCGCCATTTTCACATGTTGTAGTAGGACAACCCGGGCTTCCTGGCTCACAAGTTGGGATTGTTCCCTTTGAACTAGTTGTTTTAGTTGGTTCTGTGCAATTTGGGTCGTCTTTATCACAACTCCGAGTTGTGGTAGGACGAATAGTTCTGGTATGTTTATTATGATTATTACCACATTTTTTTTTAGGCCTATTGTGTTCCACTTGAAAATCATCATCATTGTCAGCTTTACAATGATAACTCGTAAAATCCGCATCATCAATATTTAAGTAGAATGCTGATGAGCCACAATAGTTCCTTGCAGGTATCGACAATTTTGAAGTATCGACATCAAGAAAAACTCCATCGTATCTCAAGACACTTATGTATAAGTTAGGTTCATTGCAACCTTGTTGGTTTCCCTTACCGAGACGAAATAACATAGAACCATCTTGATATTGATCAGATTGAATTACACTAAGACCTGGTGTCGGGAGTGTATGCGTGATAGTCACTTCACCCGAAACTACACTCAATGATACAAAGTTTATTGTTATCGTTATTAATATTAATATTAATTTTGTAATAAATAAATAATTGTCAATGTTTTTTTTAGTCATTTTTGAAAAAATTCTCTTTAAAAAAAAAAAAAAAAATTTAGAACTAATTAAGTTATTCTATTTCTAAAATTTAATAAATATAGATAAAAAATCAGGAACTTAGACTACAAACTAAAAAACTCCTTTACTTTTCCCCTAAATTAAAAGAAAAAAGAAAGAAAATCTTTTGTCTGCACAGTCAAAATTAACTTTTGGATTTAAATACTTTGTACAAAATGTCGTGAAACACGGAAGCAATGTATGTAAAAACAATACAATAAACATTGGGATATATTTTATATGAACGTTATTCTATTTATTAAATAATATTTTTTTCTAACCCTAATTACGGCCGCCGTGTCACTGTTTTCTCGCCATTCGTAAAGCGAAAAAAACACCGAGCGAATTCGATTACAATTTACCAAATTAATAAAGTTTTTTCTTTCTAACCAAATTAATTCCGCAACATTTTTCTCCCCTTCGCATGTTTACAAATTATAAAAAAGAATCTATTATTATTTATTGTAAATTTCTATACTTGACTTAATTGATCTCTGTTTTTTGGTAGTACAAAATTAGGAACTGAGTGTGGTTTAACCGTTCACTAGTGAAAAAAGAAAATTTAAATTCGAAAAAAATATGCAATAACCAGCCCGTCAACTTTTATAATGGTTATATTTTTCAATGTTAAAACCCCTAAATTAGAAATTGGGATTTTTTAATATTACTTTAAAAACAAAGGATTTTTGTATAATACACTTTTCATATTCATTGTGACCAACTAATTTATTTCTTTGCCACAAATAGAACTAATATTTCACCACCATCGTCCCGCCATCAAAGGATTTTATTCTAGTCACATGGCCAGTATCCCGATTTATAAGACATACACATGGTCAAACATTATTAAAATAATAATTAAGGCAAGATGATGAAATCGAATTTTTTTTTTTATGGATTTTCTCATAATTTTTTATTCGACAAAAAATTTTTTAGTTTTGTGATACATACCATACTTAAAAGTTTTTACAAGGTCTAAAAATAAATAATCTTGTCTCTTCCCGAATCCTATTCTGAATTTATTCTAATGTTATTTTATATGCATGATATATTTTTAAATGGATTTCCTTAAGTAGTGATCTCATAATAACAATGATACTAATCTATTTAAAAATTTTTTATCTACTTGATTACTATTAATGTTCGTTTTTTAGTGTGGAAATATTAATATTAATGTTTTTATGTCTCATCGTCCTTTTTTACTTTAACCATTAGACTTCAATTAAAATGAACCAGCAGCTTGTATGGATGATGTTGCACCATTATTTAATGTACCCATCTATCATACCTTGTTTCTTCTTCTTCCCATGAAAATTTGCGTCATTACACAGTGAGAATTTACTTTTTTCATTATAACCAAAAAAATAATGAATTTTGGTAATCCGTGGAATTTTTTTGTAACGGATGTTTAATATAATAATGAAGGTTTAGGAATTTAAAAATTTCAGTGCCGTCGGTAGTAATTTTAATTACATAATGCTATAATCCTCCATTATTGATTGTTATTAAAATCTATTATTATTATTAATTGATTAATGATAATTTAACAAAAAGTAATTTTCAATCAATTAATGAAATTATTATCATTATTAAAATCAATTTTCCGATTTAGTATATAATTAAATCCGGATAATTCATTTTCAGCTTGTACAACATTATTACTATTGTTGTTTTTTAAAGATAATTTCTTCTAATTTATTACTATTAGCAAACTCACAATATTCTTCAATAGTATGGTGTATCAGACGTATTTGATAACGATGACTGACAGTTTTATATTTTTAATTGTGAACAAAAATTATGTTCTATTATTATTATTATTATTATTATTATCATTATTATCATTATTATTATTACCTGCAAACATTTCCGACATTAACATGTCACTACTATAAATATCTGATTCTCATGTCTTCTTTTTTTTTTGCCAGATGATTTATTAATATATTACCGCCATAAAAATTACTTCATTGTTCAGTTTAAATTCTTCAATTGATTTCAAGATTGATGATGAAGATGGCGGGTTTTGGGTTTTCTCATGGTGATGGTATTCATGAATTATATTCGAAGGTGATATGATCAATATACACAGAAGATAATTTATTATTATCAATAAGGAATTGTACTATTTTAAAATAAATTTATCTACAGATAATTTCCTTTATATAACATCAATAAAACTTTTACTCTGGTCCTTTCATGTGTTGAATGTGAGAAAGAAAGGTTTTAATTAAAACAGATTAAATATGCTTGCGATTATTGGCTAGAAAGTGGTGGCTTGGACACATTTTGATTCAGAATCCATTACTATGATAATATGGAATCGTTTAGCAAAACGGAAATTAATATTTAGTATTAGTATTGGCAAAAAATTTCAAACTAGTAACCTTGCATCCATCACATTAAATCTATCCTCGCAATGATTTTTTTCATCTCCGAAAAAAGTTTTTTATTTCCTAACTGCCTTTTCTATTTTCTGTATTAGCCATATAAGGATTAATTAATAATTTCATTTTAAATACAATAATCGTTTCACACTGATCCCCGAACATGATCTATTATACATGCTGTCCAAATCCCAAATCTACAGTGAATGTGAATTTGGGAAAACTTGTCAAAGAATTCCCATGGCATTTCTGAAGAATAAATACTCGGTGTTTACAATCTTTTGAATCTGACAATTATTCCTCCGAATTGATAATTTTGTTTCTACTAATTAATAACCTTTTCTTCTTCTTCTTCTTCTTCTTCTTCTTCATGCATTGAGGAACAGTATTCATATAAATATTTTCTAATTTCTCTGGCAGTTGTTAATTTAGCATAAAATTCAGGTGATTTTATGTCTTGTTATCTATTATTAGATGATGATCAATCATGTGGCACAATATGAATTTTCACAAAAACTATAAATGTCATATATTTAATACTTCAGATGCCAGGTATGGAAGATCTCATTGATTGTTAACATAATCTATTTGGCTATAAGAATAATCCATTAATCTAATAAAATTAAAATTTACCTCATTTGATACCAAAACAACAAATTACGTGCTTTTTACATATCATGTGATATACCTATTACAAACGTATTACAAAACGTGTCATGTATATATTTCTTTCTGGAGCCAAGAATTCAACCTTCTATATTTAGCCACAACGTCCTTATCTTCAAGCGACTAATATCAAACGAAAAGAAATCCAGCGAATCACAAGAGAGAGCACTACTCATTGTTTCTAAATGGCTTGAGGTTTATTTTGACAAATTCATGATTGTCTATTTACCGTAAGCCTCCTTGATAAATACAACTGAGGATATGACATTTGTAATGAATTCTTTTAATGCAAATCAAAAAAAAAAAAGATTTGTATTATTTAAATGGTCATTCAAATTAATTGTTATCAACTAAGTCTTTTTAAACCAAAAAAAAAAAAAAAGGAACAATACATTTTTATTATTACAAAATATTAATAACTCTTTATAGTAATTTAAATGCTAAATCCTTAAATAGCATTGTAATATATATTATCCATTTTTGTCATAAATCTTTTCTATAAAATAAACAAAAGCCAGCCATACATAAATGTTTATAACAAAATAGGTTAGAAATGATCCATAATAAAAAATAATAAATAGTAGTACAGTTAAACCTCGCTTTAACGAATTTTGTTTAGTAATTCTGGTACAACGAATATTAGACGCAATTTTCTTGTGTCTCCATAGATCTGTTGAAATGAAGTTTGACTGCTGTAATAATAAACAGGCTATCATCTTTTTACTCTCACTCGCTCTCTTCTTCCTTCTCCCTCTATTTAACAAAAAAAACTGCAAATTACACAGAAATTACGATTTTTTAATAGAAGCAAAAAAAAAAAAACAAATCAAAAAAAATGATAATTTTCGTGATCAATTATCATTGATAATTATTTTGCCATGCATGTTTTTTAACCATGTGAAGAATCTTTACTCGAAGAAAAAATTTTTGGGGTGCGATCTGCAATAGCTAGCAGAGCAAAGCACATATATATATATATGAAGGAAAGCAATTATGATGGCTCTGCGGAATATAAAAGCATTAAAGTAGGCCGTTGTGCTTGTGGTTATTCATCAATGGTTTCTCAAAAAGAGTTTACAGAATTGTGCGAAACCTTTCAAGAACTCTCTAAATATTTTCTTAATGGCTCAGCTCATAGCAATGGATGGTAACGGCGGAACAACGACTACTAGCTGACACCTTAAGAAGAAAACCTGATCCAATAAAAGAACCTTCTGCTGCTGAAATCACAACATACCTCTTTGTCAAAAAATATATTTAAATATGCTTGGAGTTGGGCGCACTTATTTTGAAAACATTTAGTTTTATATATCAAGAATTCATGATAAAAATGTCCTAGTGAAAAACAAAAATGGTAATTCTCAAGATGTTTCTGAGGGTATAAAGAATTTTCTTGGGAATCACGTATTCTTACAAGAGTTAGTTATAAGTCAGCGCACACCGATTTTCTTGTAGGTAAGGCTCTGAACCAATCAATGAAATTCGAATTCGAATCCTAATTTTTGATTCGAATTTTACCCTGATTCGTTTCGATTCGGTTCGAGCTGATTCGAATATTAATATTAAATGTATAATTTTATTCGAACTGATTCGATTCGATTTGGATTGAACTGATTCGAATATATAATTTGATTCGAATCTATGTCAATCATTATCATTCATTGGTTATTTAAATTTAATGAATTTATTAATGAATTGCGCAACTGTAAATTGTATTATATACTTTTTTATTCGTCATTACGTTACCATTATTGTTATCAATATTAATAATATTAGTGATGGTGGCCGAAACTACCTTACTTAGTAGGCCGAAATTTGCCGAAATTAATCGACTTGAACTTTGACGAAACTATATTTGAAGTTTTTTAAATTTGATTTAGATACTTATTATATGTATTAAGTGAAACTACCTTTTTTTCAAAATAGTTTCGGCCACCATCACTAAATAATATCCTTTATCAATTAAATATACACAATCTTATTTAGCAGAAAGTTTGGGTAATTGGAAATTTTCTCCAAAAATCCGTTATTATTATATTAATACAGTCAAACCTTGTCACGGCGGACTATAATTAAATTCTTGTCATAACGGACTTTTAAAGTTTTTGCTTCACATATAAAATTTTTCTTATGTGTCCCGTCTATCCACTGTGACTTTATCAAGAAATCCGTTATATTGAGAAGAATTTTATTATTATTATTATTATTATTAAACCTAATCCATTAGTATCCATTAAATTGAGGCACACTAGAATGAGATTCACTGTGTTTAATACGACATTAAAAAAAATTTAGGAATCTGATTTGATTCGAATCGAATCGATTCGGAACCATACTTGTAAGTCTGAAAGAAGGAATTATTAAAGTATGATGTGAATTATGATATCAATCAACTCCTCAGATTCAAATTGTGTGATGTCTGTCAACGTAAATATTAAAAAATACTGTCAAAAACAAAACTAGAAAGAATGTGATTATATAAAGATGAGCTTGGTACAACAGAATCCACTCGTAGTGGAGAATTAAAAAATGAACAAAAAAATTTCAAGATGAACTTGATGCTAAAGGACAAGAACATAATTCGCTTGCAAGGAAAGTTGACTCGTTTGGATGAACCTTTTAAGAATTTGAGAGAAACTACTGAAAAGTAAAAAAGAGGATTATAACAAATCTTTAAATAAATATTTATATTTATTTATTCAAAGATTTTGTATGTTAAACAGAAAATCATGAACGTATGCTATAGCAAAACTTGAAACTCAGAAAAAGATGCAAAATGGTAGTACACTATATGATGAATTAATTAAAGCTCTGAACAGATTGGATCAAAGCCAGATCAGATCCTATCAGTTATACGATTAAAGAAGTTTTTATTAATAAATATTAGGTTTCTAGATGATAATTTATTATAGTGTATAATATCATTATAGATGGGTGTCTAAACTAAATTATTTAGACATTTAGACAATCATGGTCTCAATTGTCTAAAATGCTGAAATTGAATTTTTTATTGAATAATTTACTGAACTTTGTGGATTTTGTGTATGTACACGTGACTTTTAGTTGTATTTGACATTTTTGTCAAATTACTATTTTGACCAACCCCAAAAACAATTTATACGCCCATCTATAAAAATATAATGTGATTCTACCCTCTATTGCGATGACGACAACATATTACTATTTCTACTATATACTTTTAAAGGTAGATTCTTGTATTCATTCAAAACTTGGCTTTATTTCCGCCAAAAATATTTCCACATAAGTATTCTAACGCTATAAATATCAGTTTATTTCCTTCCTTGAAGAACTTCAGGTGCAATATATGGCATGATTACATAAATCTCACCTGATGGTTGATTATTAACTGGTCCACATAATCCTAAATTCCCACCAAATCTTTATATGTATAAAATACAATGAACTACATAATAAACAGTTAAATATTTAATAAATAATTTCCTTCCTCATAATAATTGGAATTGTTACACCATGACAAATAAACAATGAATAGTGACCTGATTTTAGTCTTTACATTTTGCAGATTCGCTAATTTATTAATATTCTTTTTCATCTTCTAAAATTTCCTTTTATTTTTTTTTTTAACCCATTGTAAAAAAAAACTTTCTATTTTTTCTACCAGGTATGTTTTAACATTATTATACAATTCAATAAAAGTTTTACATACAAATTCTTTTCTGTCAGATGTTAATAGTCTTTCAAATGACATTTTTAACAATTAAATTCATTTTGTTTTTTTTTTTAGAAAATGAAACATAAAGAAAATTTGGATAACTTCATTTCAAAATGAAATTAATAATATAACAGTCCACAAACATTGCTCCCAGTATCAATTATATTTCCTATCTCTAACACCTCGATGCCTTTTCCTTTACAATTAGCAATTAATGAAATCAACAAAATTATGAAATTTCTATTTATTTTCAATATTTAAAAGCTCATCAGGCAACACATTGACTCGCAAATAATAAAGTAATAATAATAATAAGCGGATTATGCATTGTTGCATAATAACAATTGTAAAACTCTTGCCAAGTAATCTTCGTTCTTTGTCTAGGAATACATACTAGAAAGGGGGCGTGTTAAGGGTGGAGCCATCATAATTGTGTTACATGATATAAAATAACTGCGCCAGTCACAAATTTGTTGTGCAGTAACACAAATTATTTTATTATTATGAAACTATTCGTTATATAGTATAGTAATAGTAATAATACTTGACATTAATTCGAATTATTCGTTTATTCGAATATTATTATTATTATTATTATTATTATTATTATTATTATTATTATTATTATTATTATTATTATTATTATTATTATTATCTGTTATTCTTTTATTCGAATTATTCTAATTATAATTATTTATTTTATTCAAATTATTCAAATTATTTATTTTATTTGATTTATTCTAACTAGAATAATTATTCGAATTACTCGTTTATTCAATTATTCGTTTTATTCGTTTTATTCGAATTAGCAGCTTTATTTGAATAAACTTTCAGTGAAATTCGAACGCCCAAATTCATATCGAATAAAATAAATAATTCAAACAAGCCTTATTCGAATAAAAAACCATCAACTTACCAAAAATGACATCTGCTCCTCGGAGGCGATTAATTTTTAAAAAATAATTGCACAAAACGATATTTAAAAGTCTTTGAATAATTCGTTGCAGCCAAATTTTTTATTTAGACTTATTGGCAAAAGTTAAAAGAGTTTTAAAACCTCTCTATTTACTATTTTGTAATATTATATATATAATTTTCAAAATTTGCTGCCCGTTATAATAAAATTTTACTAATTTCTCTTTATTTCATTGGTCGAAAATATTTTCACGTTAAAATTTTATTTTCGCGTTTTTAGATTTACGTTTTTCAATGATCTGCAATTTCTTGCAGATCATTAATTATTTCATCTTTTGATTTGCACTAAATAGAGTTGAATTCAAAGAAAAAAAGAAAAATAAAGTTTTTCTTTCAAATAATTTATTTGTTCATTCAATTAAAAAAGAAAAAAGAAAAAAATTTCACAAAGAATTCAACAAGTAACTAACCACCTCATTGGAAATCCGTCTAGAAGACCATCAGAGGATGTAGTGGTGGTAGCAGCAGTTCGTACGGCACTCACCAAAGCTAAAAAAAAGGTGGTTTCAAAGATGCATTTCCCGAAGAGTTGCTGGCTGCGGTTTTTAAGGCGGTGCTTGGTAAATCAAAAATTGATCCAAAGTTGATTCAAGATGTGGCGGTTGGTAATGTTTTACCACCTGGTGGTGGAGCTACAGTTGCAAGAGCTGCAGCTTTGTTTACTGGTATTCCTGATACTGCTGCTTTGAACACTGTTAATAGACAATGTTCTTCTGGTTTACAAGCAATTGTTCAAATTGCTCACGAAATTGTACTTGATCAAATTGAAATTGGGATAGGTGATATATATATTATACATAATATTATGCATATATTGTCTATTATTATTTGTTGATAATTATTTTATACTTATATTCTTATTTGTTTTTAAAGGCGCTGGAGTTGAGAGTATGTCACTTCATTATGGAGCAGGAGCAATGGCAACAGATGTTTCAGAAAAGGTATTCTCAAATCCGGCATCACAAGATGGTTTACTTCCGATGGGAGCAACTTCAGAAAATGTAGCAGAAGAATTTGGAGTCACGAGAGCCAAACAAGATCAATTTGCTGTTTTGTCTCATCAAAAAGCAGCAGCAGCGCAAAAATCTGGTCTTTTTAAAGAAGAAATAATTCCTGTAAGAACCAAATGGATTGATCCCAAGACAGGGGATGAGAAAGAAATAGTTGTTGATAAAGATGATGGAATTCGTAAGAACACAACATTGGAAGGATTAGCCAAATTGAAACCAGTGTTCAAAGAAAATGGTACTACTACAGCAGGTACTGCCTCGTAAGTTTCTGATGGAGCAGCAGCAGTTTTATTGATGAAACGTAAGACAGCTGAAAGACATAGATTACCAATTATTGGTAAGTTTATTAGAACATCAGTTCCACCAAGGGTGATGGGAATAGGGCCTGCTTATGCAATTCCGGCTGTTCTTAAACTAGTAGGGCTTTCAGTTAATGATATTGACATTTATGAAGTTAATGAAGCTTTTGCTTCACAAGCAATATATTCTATTGAGAAATTAGGTATTGATATCATAAAAGCTAATCCAAAGGTAATTAAAATTAACTGATTGATATTGGAATCATTTTTACTCTTCCAAAAACAATGATTTTTTCTAAATTTAAATTTACTATATAATTGATAATTAATGATTAAAAGGGAGGAGCAATTGCAATTGGTGAGCCATTAATTTACATGATTATAATCAATTTATTATTATAATACTACATAATTTATTAACGCTTATATATATATATATATATATATATGATTAATAGGGCATCCTTTGGGTTGTACTGGTGCACGTCAAGTATCAACACTCTTGACAGAGTTAAGAAGAACAAGGAAGAAATTAGGAGTTATTTCCATGTGTATCGGAACAGGAATGGGAATGGCTGCTGTTTTTGAAGCAGAATTTGCTTAAAATTATTAATGTAATTGATAATTGGTTAATTAGTTAATTAATGATCATTTAATATTTAGTATTATTTAATTATCACTATTTTTGATCTCAAATAACCAATATAATTATTTAAAAGTTGGTATTTGTTTTCGTTTAATAATAATAGTAATGAGATTGTTTTATTATATATGTTAGATCAAAAATTTAAAACAAAATGTTTATGATTACATATCATTATTTTCTTATTATTATAAATTGTAAAAAAAAAATTTCTCCCATACCCCTCCCAATATAACAAATATTTTAAAGTCCAAATGAAGCATGGCCACTCAAACAAGCGATTTGTTTGTTATCAGCATTGTAAGCATTCACGTAAATGTTATAACTTCCCTATAAATTATAAATAATATGATTATTAATAAATAAACATTATAATTACCAATGAATTAATAACTAATTAATAAATCTCTTACGGGAAAAATATTTCCAGGTAATTGTGCCACTTTGTCAACTGTATGATTTCCCTTCATAACAGGACAACTTTCATCAACCTCGGGAGCTTGTTCGCATAAATCAAGACGTTTTGAATAAATCGTCACTATTCCATATTTAACTACCACGTCAACATAACCACCTTCACCAACGGTTTCTTTGAAATAGCCAGAGCCTTGAATACGTAATTCTTGTCCTTTTTGTGGTGGGTCAGGAGTTAATTTTATGTAATGAATCGTCAAGATATCTTCTGGTTGGCTACAAACCGATACGGTATCATATAATGCTTTTACCGGAAATTCATTGCTAAGAACTTCCTGGATTGTTTCTTTGAGAGAGTCTACTTCTTCTTGAATCCTATTCGAGTTTACTATTGAAGCAAACAATAACATGATCAAAGAAAAGAAAATAACCACAAATAAATTGTTTTTATTATTCATGATGATTGCTGTCATTATTATTATTATTGTTATTGTCAATTAATTTTGAAAAAGAAAGGAGAAAAAAATTATATTTTATTATTAATTTTTTTTATACTATAATAATAAATATTTTTGAATGGTTACAGAAAAAATAGCCATTTCTCAATTTATTATTTATTGTTTATTTACATCTCACATTTTTTTATCATCATCTATTACTATTTACAAGTTGTTTATAAGAGGCGAAATGCGTTTTTGGGTAATATTAATGTAAATCTTCCGTACGATGTTCTACTACATGTTATATTAATATGAAGCAATGCTGACTAATAATAAAAATTTAAAAATGAAAGGCAGTAAATTTTTTTACCTGGGCAATATTAAAAATAACGTTAACGTTAGCCATTAACGCCTTTAACCATTTTAATCTACAAATGATTGTGTCATGCAAACAGGGGTTAAATGTATATAAAAATAACTTTTGGAGAGAAGAAATTCAGTTTCAAATGGATGCAAGAGTCTACACTTGTGTATTATTGTATAAATAAGACCGCATTATTTAGGCTTGTTACCTCAAGTTTACATACCATAAAACTTGATCGAACTATTTGAAATATGCTCATGTTTATCTTGGCGGTTGGATTCTTCATACGATCCACCAGTCACAAAAATGTCAATATCAGATTATTTAAGATCGATTCCACACCTCATAAAGAACATCGATGGTAGAAATGTGCAAAATTTAAAGAAATATTCATTATTTCAATACAATGATGCTTACCATATTTGCTAATTATAACCCTATTGTGAGATTAAAATAGAAAACAATCATCCAAAAAAAATTTTTTTAAATTTTTTGCATATTTAAAATTTCGTTTAATGATTGCTAATTCGTTCTACAGATTTGTTTGATTATATTAAGATTAAATTTTTTTTATAGATTTTAGTGGATAAAGACAACCGGCTGATTAACTACTAACTGGTCAATTGATTATTAAAATTTCAGAGCCTCACTCCATAAAAGCAGCTACAGAAGTTAATATTAAATTACTTTTTTACAAAAAATCCGTTATATGTAAAGCAAATACTTTTGTGAGTCGAAAATTAAACAGCAGGGTTTGATTATCAGAGTGCGGCGAAGTTTGGTATTATCCAATGTAGTGTTAACGACGGGCAGTAAGGTTTTTGCTTTGGTAGAAAACAAAGGTTCAAATGTAAACATTTTTGTAAAAGAGTTAAATGTAAAGTGTTAAAGTTGTTCGGTAAAGTAATAGAGTGTTATCGACTAAAATGCAGACATTTATTAACCAAAGTCTTTTTGGTTATCGCATATGGTTATTTGTGTTAAAGTAAAGCAGTTTAAGTAGACTTGTAAAGAGAGCAAATCAACCAAGTTTTTAAGCGGCCAAAGAAAAGTAAAAGTAAATAAAGAAGAAATTTTAGAAAGCATTTGTCGTTTTCTAAAAGAGCCACATTTATTAATTGTACAATAAAGTGTGCTTACAGATCGCTGAAGCTTTCTAGGTACAAGAAAGAGGCAGTAGGCAAGAAATTAATACGAACTCGGCTATAAACGTAAACCAATCGGTATTAACCGAAAAGCTACATCACAATATTATCTTCACAGGGGCGGGCATCAATTTTTCAAAAGAACCGAATTAATTCTTTTAAGAATCTCCTTAGCCAAGATAACATCAGGTATCTCATGACCATATACAGTATGTAAATATCTTTACAAACTTTCTGGTAATTCCATCCAAATTTTCACGAGTTTATGATTAAATGTTGATTTTCATTTTTGAATAAATAGTATTTTCACCCCGTCATAATCATTATTACAGTTGATATTGTTATTTTTTAAAAAATATTTAACTGTTGACAATACAAACAAGAAAATAACTCCAATGTTGGAAACGAAAAAAATAATGTAAGAATAAATCAGAGAAATGTCGATCATTTTAATAGTAGGATGACTAGTTGCTTTATACCGGGTGGTCATGTGATTCAAAGTATAAATTAGCTTGCTTCAAAGTTAAAAATTTACAGTAAAA